AGTAAAACCTTCTGAGTCTTGAAAAGTCTTGTATAGAAGTATTTGTCTTTAACTAAATTACCCTTTGAAAATTGTTATAAATTGCTACCCTAAATCCTTTGAATCGTTTATCATTGAATTCTTGTCCCCATGATATCTTTCTTGATTAGTACCCATTTGTTTGTAAAGTAAAAAAGCCCGAATTGTTATATCACATTGCTTTTATATAGTATCTTTAAATTGATTAAATAATTAATCAATTTCGCAATTGCTAAATCGATCTACCAATAATTTGAAACCTAATTTGAAACCTAATTCGTAATCCGATCGTAACCAAACTCTGTAACTTCCGACAAACGTGACCAAGACAATCCATAGACCCAACTTCTATAACCAAAATACTCACCCAAGTAACCCTAACCTCGGACCAAGTTAATCCTCGCCTCTTTCAAGCCTTACCCAATGTGGATTATCCCAGTTTATCTGTATAGATTAGTTAGGATTCGAACTCCTGTGTAATCCAACTTCCAGACGAGTTCTAGCCTAGAACTAATTCTCACTTTTTCATCGGTCAAAATGTAGTTTAAATATTTAATAAAAATAAATTTTTCTGGCAACTTTTTTTTTTATCCACAAAATTCATACCGATTGAAAAACGACGTATGTCATTTTTCAATTGAAAAATGACATGCGTCAATTAATAATGACGCACGCATAACAAATCTACTTAAAACATTTAATATAATATTGACAGATTTTATTATATTTAATGTGTAATATTAACATAAAGACAGCGTCTTTATAAAAATTGCGAATATAAATCAATAGGACATTGATCACATTTTTTTTTAAAAAAAAAATGAGTCAATTAAGAAATTTTCTTTATAAAATTCTTTCGCACGAAGAATCAACAGAAGTTCCAGTGGATATTAATATGCATGAACAAGATCTTTGCTTTATATGTCAAGATAATATTGACCCAACACTCAAAGAGTCTGTAACGCTATTAAGTTGCAAGCATATTTTCCACAAACTATGCATCGATCCTTGGACCCATTGTCCACAATGTGATTATCAAGAAAATTTGGATAGTGATGATTCTGATAATTCAGAAAAAATGAGCATTCAAATGTCTCGACAAGCCAGCTCCATTGATTTTATATTGAACTCTGAAGCTGATAATTCTATCACAACTTCGTCCATTCCTGCACTCATATCTACCACTACTACCGATATCACACCTACATCTACTACTACTACCGCCACTGCACTAATATCTGTTACTACTACTGCTACAGCACCAATATCTGCTACCACTATATCTTCTGTACCTACATCTACCACTACTACTATTACACCTACATCTACTACCACCGATATCACACCTGCACCTACATTTACCACTACTACTGCCACTATATCTCCTGCATCAACATCTGCCACTACTACTACTACTGATATCGCATTTGCACCTACATCTACCACTACTACTGCTACTGCTACAACATCTGCATCTACGCCTACTGCTACTATGACCAGCAAAATGAGACGTTTGATTAGGGAATTAAATACTCCCATCGTAAGAAATAATAATAATACTGAC